CATCATCATCATCATCATCATCAAGGTGTATGATATAAGAACGGTAACTTGTTTGAAGAATATTTGGTAGATATCCACCGTCCCTCGACTGCCTTATACATTCGTGACGAAGGAACGAAGACATCCAGTGAAAGCTTATCGAAGTCGATGAAAGGCCGAAATTATTTTAACATCATGGTTGGCCAAATTGAACGCTGTTTTCTGATTCTAGAAGATACCATTACATCACAGATATTGGAGCACATTGCACGAAGGAAAAAAAAACTGTTCAGGTCGATTGAGTGTTAGTAAATGGTATTCCGCCAACTCGAAAATTCTTAGATGGTCTCACAGGAACACCTCTATCAAGTCTTTGATCCGCACAAGGTAATCAACCATATGCTGACACAATAACGAGGGTGCTGGACAACATATTGACGAAGCTCAATGATACTCCTACTGTGGCAAGGATCAAGACATCACTCTCACCAGGAGCCACTGGGTCGTGCAGCCTGCTCTCTACGCTGGTGACCGATGTATCGATTTGGGAGCGCCGTTGATTCTAAGTATAACGCTCGCATAAAACTAGAAAAGCCATGTTGTCGGTGATTGGGATCAGACCTGACAGAAGTGTTGCTAATGGAACTCGCCATTCTTGCGTCTAGACCTTGGCTGTGGAATGTCACTAATAAGTATGCAAGGCTAGAGGTAGATAGAGGGAAGAGAGTGAGACAAGCCCCTCAAACCGGTTAACCAATTATTCAGTTATCTGACATCCTAGTACACTGGCCTATACTATCGGGCATCAAAGCCATATCATTGTCTGACCAGGCCGGACAGCTTGTCTAGCTAGAGATTGTAGAGCTAGATAGAAATCGCCGAGGTTTCCGTTCTAACAAAGACAGATGAGATCTTTTACTTTTCACCTAGATCGATATTCCATCTTCTTACTATCTTTTTCAGTTATCCATTCAATTTTACTCCAAAGTTTTTTTTTCTCACTACGTCTTGGCCCTGAAGCCTGACTCAGAAATGAGGACTTGTGAAACGGCCCCCACGGGGCTCGATCCTCTAATTATTTCCCCCTACTCGACAGAAAAAAAACACACAGAGGAACTTCATTCGTTTTGCAATCAAATATCCCAAATTTGTGCTTGGCACAATCATCAATCATGCCCCCGGGATGGTCCAGCTCTGATCAAGTGCCTTACACATGTCCCTTGATAACTAAAATAATAAGATAGACTCACTCTTTGTTGGCTGCATGGCCAGGTAATTAGCCTGGCAGGATCTCAGCTCATTTGCTGGGCTGAGGTTCTGCGGGGACCCCAAGGTAGTTGGGGGCGATGCGGCTTTAAAAGAGAACCTTTCCCACTTTTTTTTCTTTCTCACTCTCTTATTTCCGGTATTTCTACTCATCAACTACCTAAATACCTTAAGTCTAACACTAAAAAAAAGAAATTCATAATGCGTTTCACTTGGTTTCTTACCTCGGCACTAGCCGCCATCGTCACCGCGGAAGAATCAACCATAATCAACTATTTCGGCGGTGGAATGCAATGGGCTCATGAAATTCAACTCCACCCATGGACTAGCACAGCTGCCAGCGTAGCTGGGATCAATGCCATTGCCACAACCTACGAAATCAAATGCCTGAGCGATGCGCCCAAGTCTGATTGCGAGATCGCTACGCCCTGGACCATGATCCAGGGCCCCAAAACATACAGCCTCACGGGTGTGTATACCGTGTCGGGATCAGGAACGGTCAATGCTGTGACTGGAACCCAAAAATTTGATTGCACGTTTGCCAAGGCCACCGAGTCTCCTTCCTGTTCGTTCAGCGCAAAGGCCACCGGCACCACTGCAGGTGTTTCGTACTCTACCTCCACTTCCACCTCCACCAAAAACCTGCCGACCAAGTCCTACACCTCCTACGGAATCGATGTCACAGGGGGACTAGCTTCTTTCACTGCCAGTCAAGCAACTCATACTCCCAATGGAGGAGCTGCCATGGTTACTGCTGCGCCAATGGGGGCGGTTGCTGTCGTGGCGATTGCTGCTATGCTCTAGGGTTTTTCATGTTGAGCATTTGCATTTACAATTTTTCCCCCCCCCTCAAAGTTGACTGGAGAAAGTTTTGATAAAATCCTCAAGTACACCATCAATTGCAAATTGCACATTGCACATCGTCATTTTTCGTTTGCTTTTGGTTCTAGCCTTGAGGGTAGATTTGACTCGATCGTCTCGACAACAGTAGCATTTTCCCCTTTTAATGGAGGATAGATAGATGAAGGAATAAAGATTGTTGTTTCACCTGATCCCTTTCTGAGCGAAGTACAGGCGAACACTCTCGTGCTGATAAATTATTGTGCGTTGCACCATGACGGTTTCATGTTTCTAACGGTGTACTTTGCTGGTAGGCTCTCTGCGCTATCAAAAACAAGCCAATCTTTCAGTGATGCAGGGCGTATGACTGATTTATGGGGACCCCGAAGACACGATTAAAACCCAGCCTGTAGACAAATTGTAGATACTCCGTCGCTTGGTAGGGGCATTGACGACATCAATCTGCAGACAAGTGATACGACAAAGTTGAGCCACCGTTGCCAACTCCAGAACTAGCTCGGTCAGGAAGAGGCTAGAAAACTGAAAATTGGAGTTCGCATTCACTGTGACTTGCTCTAGGTGGGTTGTTGCGATTAAAGAATTCGGACTTCTACATCTCGTCTGTGTCTTTCCCCACAGTGTCAACATAAACGGGACCGATAGAGATAAGGTAAAAGCTGAATATCAAGTATTCTCAGCGGATAAAATCTGGGTAGGCGTAGATGGTAGGTGGGTTTAAGTAGGAGAAGGATGGGAGGTTCAGAGGGCCAATTAAGGATGGCCAGAACAATAAGAAGAAAATGAAAGGTCAACGAAAGAATCGTTTTGTTTTATTCTTCCAAATGAACTAGAGTGGTATTTCGGGGACTATTGTGTCTGTTCTGTGATTTAGACTAGGATTTAAGACCCCCGTGAAGTACCTAAGATCCATGTCAAGACTAAGCAAACAGACCATGGTAATGCCGGGACAGGATATGTCGAATTTGGCAAGACGGAGAATCAGGTAGAAACCAAGATTGATTTATGCATGTTCAACTCGAGCCGGAGGAAATGTAACAACCCACAAACCAGAGGAACAAGAACCGGGTAACCAAGAAAGATGGCCAAAGAAGAAGAAAGGTAAAAAGAGGACATAAATTAAACCCGCTAAAAAAAACATGAATCAGACATAAGAGCGAAAAGATGGAAGGCCAGTCGACGACCTGGTCGAGTGTGTCTAGCCATGAGCTCGAAGTGCAAGAATAACTGCAAAGCTTTTGCAGATGCGAGCAGTATGGTATATATGTACAGATAAAGGAACAATGGTTTCTTTTGCACATGATTATAATGAGCATTTAGCCATCAAGGTACAATGTGCCAAAAGCAACCACTTGATATCGAAGTGATCACCAAGTTTCCTAAAACACTGTCAGCATAGCTCCCCCCCTCCCCCCCCAAAAAACAAACACATCAAACTTACAGCAATATACTGTCCAGCCTCCTTCTTCCGCTGCCAGAACATGTTGGCCTCCTGGGCATTGAGATTACCCTTTGCCATAGCAACCTCAATTAGAGCAGCCTCAACACCCTCACCCATACCCTTACCTGAGCCACAAACAAAGACACGACCATCAAGAGAGTTGATAACAAACCAAACAAGATCAGCCTGATGTCTAACCTCTTCCTGCACATAGCGACTTTCGCCCCTACGGCTTTGCACAACAGTGCGCACCTTACCCTCATGCACGCCCCACTCGCCCGAATAAAGCTCGTCGAGCAGCGAGTCGCGCACACCTTGCAGCACCCATACCTTGTTGGCGCAGTTGGCCGACTGGAGACGGCGTTGCACAAAGCCACGGAAAGGCGCGATGCCAACTCCAGCGCCGATGAGCAGCATCGGGCCGTCAGAGGCAAAGCGCGTCGCGAGCGGGTTCGCCATCAGTCCTCGGAACATGGGTACGTGGAGATCGAGTTTCTCGCCGGAAGCTTCCGCCGCAATCGCTCGCCGCGCGAGGGACTCCAGGTACCCGGAGCTAACGCCTGTGCGGGACCCGCCGCGCCAGTCATCGGATTCGGCGACTGTGACCGCGACCTCGATTAAGCGTCGGCATTCAGTGCCTTTGTATCGGCAAGAAATTTGGGGATCTTGGGAGAGGGAGTAGAAACGGGGCATGAGGGTGTTGAGGACAGAGAGGAGGTGGTCAAGGGGTGGTTGAGAGCTTGCGAAGGCGGTTAGGAGTTGCGTGAGGGAGACGAAGGAGCTTGTGCGTAGGTCACAGAAGGCGCCTTGGCCTTGGGCTGAGGAGAGGTATTCGAGGATTTTCTTCTCATTTGGCTCGCTTGTGTACTCGGCGAGGAGGCGGAAGAGTGGCTTTGTTGGGGCGTAACTCTGGATGTCAGAGCACCAGCTGAGGACTTCGCGGCGGGTAGTGATGAGTTCGCGGGGCTTGTCGTCGCCCCAGATTGTCGGCCAGCGGCCTTTAGTTGTGCGCATGAGAATTTTCTTGTCACGCATGGACTTTGGTATACCTAGGAGGTTGAGGACCTCTTCGACTTCGGAGTCCTTGTTTTTGGGACATACGCCGATTGCACCACCGACTACGAAGTCAACCATCCCGCTTTCGGCAGGGTAGTTGGTGACGTCGATATCAAAGTGGTAGGTACGCTTCTCGGCACCGGGCCCTGTCAACTCACGGGCATGGAACAGAGGCGCACGGTAGACCTGGTAAGGTGGGTGCGGCTGCACGAATTCCGGTGGGTGGTCTGCAGGGCCAAAGGTCATATCGGCCGCCGATGCGGGGGTGGGCTTGAACGAAACGGTCTTCTCTGGGAGAGGGGCAATGTTGGAAAGTTCGCTGTTCATGGTGAGGAGATCAAGGTTTAACTTAAGGCTATCGAAAGCCTTGTTGCCGACGGGTGCAATAATTGAATTGAAGCCTAAAATCGGTCCATCGACAGGGCGCAATGCCTGTCCCCGGCAACAACCCCCACCGCAACAGAGAGTTTGAAGCTTCTGGGTGCCTGCTGTGCCCACATTCTCCAAAACCCTTTGCAAATCATCCGCATTCTGTGAAATCAGGACAGTTGATGCTCGTCGCCGTTGCCGACCACCGTCGACCTTTTCCGCTCCATTCTCTTCCTCGGATTGGACCTCGGTGGATGGCGTCAGAGGGGTACTGGGAGAATTCAAGCCGCTCGATATAGTGCTCTGGGAGGAGCCCGAGGATATGACATTGAACTGGGTGTCGGTGATTGAGAGCGAACGCACACCACGAGGCTCTTCCGGAATTGGGTTATCGGGGTGGGAGGTCGAGGACACCGGGATTTCTTGATAAGTGCCTCTGCGGGGGCGGGACCCCGTCGAAGCGAAAGTCGCCGACGGCATGATGGATTGAACGGCGTGAACTAAGTTAATGGGGTTAAATTGTGAGTCTCAACGAATTGGATTAAACCCGAGTATTCTCTGCATACCCATGAGGGAATTTGGAGGAAAGTTGCGAGCCTCCGAAAAGTTGCACAAAAATCGGCGCAACGAGGAATGCCGTATATGAGTCAAGACGGGATACTTTAAAGGACGTAGCAGAGCCCCCTTTTTTTGCTTGCTATGAGTCGAGCATGGAAAATAGAAGAGTGGGATGAGGGAGGAGGGCGTGGACCCGAAGAATGGTCGGGACGATGGTTCCGTACAGAGAATCGGAAAAGCGAAAATGACGGTATGGGAATGAGAAATACAGGGTCTCCCAGCGTTGAAGAGCGGAAACAGAACAGGAAATATCAGATTCGCCACATTCTTCGTCACCGGCTATGTTTCACGGTTGGTTCCGGCATTTATGTTTTAAATTATAAGATCTGGAATATGGGATATCAACTAATTTTTGATCTTGCATGTCAGCAGTAATAAGGACTCGATTACTGGACATGGCGTTGACTCCAATTGGGGTCATCGTATCCATCCAGATCGACGGTGCGTACTCCGTGGTGAACTTGTAAATTACTTGTATTCGGTGGCGTAGGAATCAGTCGACGAAGGTCCCGGTCGGCTGTAAACCGGAATGACCACACTAAGATGTCAGATGATTGGAATTTAACCTATTTCCTATAACCTGTAACTTACGTTAACAGGGGTTCTACCGGGAAAAATGAAAGTGCAATTGGAGAGAAAAATGCATGTTCCGGGGTGGGCTGATGGAGAAATGTTGGAACACTTGTAATGTACAAAACATGGCAATACCATACACATTACCTCGGTTATCAGATCAATCAGATAGCAAACGGCGGGTTTGTCAGCCTGTTTGAGCAATCAATCCTATCTGATAACCACCGCTGTACAACTCCACCATGTTTTACCCCAAGAGCAATCCTGGAAAGGGGTGACCTGTACTCCATATTGTAAATAAAATCCCCTGACCCCAAGCCTCAAGCCACTATTCTTGCATAACACAAAATTGATCTATCTCTGTACGAATTCTCCACTTTCCGACCAGTCGGACCTAAATTTGTGAATGTTGGCCCATCATACCTACGTCCTCAACCCTCGGTAAAGCTATTTTCCATACTGTCCAAAGTGGGGATGCCAGGCCAAGATCAGTCGGTGGGTCAGGTTAAATGAGCTAGGGATGTTCTTGAAAAACAGTAAAGAAGATCATCTCTGGAGCTTTCAGCCTGAAAGATTCACTGGTGGGCCGATTAGTGTTTCAATAATCACCTATAGCCTGAAACTACTCCATGCCGATATCGCGAGCTCACTCCTCTCCACATTAACTCATCTCCGGAACTTTTGGTGTGTCATAAGTCCCTGTCCTATGTAATAATGGTGGTGCGTGTTAGCTGTTGCGTTGATCCACTTGGTGTTCGTTGTCACGTCGGGTAAGAAGGCTGGGGTTTAAATACCGAGCAGCCCTGAAGGTTATAAAGCCTTTTTAATTTCAAGGAGTAGAACGGTTAGGAGGGCTAACGGGTTCCATCTGATAACTTAATTTTAATGCCGATGGCTGAAGGGCCGAGCCCTTCCTTGCCCTTGGAAGTATCCGAGACATCTTAATCGATTGACCATCATCACAAATTAGGGTGGGTGCCACGTCAGTATTGCACGAGTCTATTTAGATAAGGCGAATTCAAAAAAAAGATGTTCCGTAACAATAACAGCAAACTCTCAAGATCGTAGCTATGTACGGAGTACATCGCGTCATCAAATCCAAATAGACATCTCATCCATCAGCCAAACATATACAGCCAAAATAACGGAAACAGGAACAACAAGGTACACCTTCAATCCAATCGAACACAATCTCAACTATTTTCATTCCTCTGAACCAAAGCCACAGGCGAGATAAAATGATTTTTCCCCCGAACCAAATAATAAAACGTCGCAGATCCAACAATACCAACATACATCGCCACGCTCCAGTTCATCGTTTCAACTGCTACTTCCGTCGTCAGGGGAAAGAATGCAAAGACATAAACTGGACAGAGGAACGCCAATGCCCCAATATTCACGGCCATGCCAAATTTTCCAAGAGACCACCGGTGGGATGGGAGCGGCTCGCCCCGAACCCGTTTTAAGAATACGCAACCGATCGAGATGATATACGCGGACAACAGGGATGTAATGGTGAGGGAAATGACAGCATTCAGAGCAACCTCCGATCCGATGTTTATCATCGACAACAGCACAGTGAGGATCAGAGACACCATCACGGAATTGAGTGGAATGTTCCAGCCTGGCGTGACCTAGTGGTTACATGTTGATAATAATAATAATAATAATAATAATAGTAATAATAATTATAGATATCACAGGCCCAGAACACGGAAAAGACATGGCTTACATATGCAAAAAAGGGCGAAAAGGGCAGCCCTTCGTCCCGGGCAAACGACCAGAGCTGGCGCGATGCCGTTGCAACTTCGGTGATTGTGCTGGCAGTGAGTGTTACCACCAGCACTGCCGTCATGGCGTTTGTCGCGGCAAAGCTGCCAGTAGTGTTGTAGAAGATCTTAATAAACGGGAATCTCGTTGGCGTGCCAAGGACTGCGTTGACCTCGCCTAGTGTGAAGCATAGCGTGACCAGCATGATAAATCCCAACACGCCGTTGATGGCGACGGAAGTCATCATCACCTTTGGGAGAGTCTCTGATGCGTCTTTGATTTCTTCGGCTTTTGGAGGTCAGCACATTATACCAGGTCTGAGGTCGTTCATAGAGTTCGCTCTTACACATATGAACCGAGCAATCATAACCAAGCATGGATGTTATGGTAGTATATAAGCCGACTAGTGTTGCCGTCCCAGGGCTAGCCCAACCGCCCCCGTTGTTGAACGTGGTGAAGACTGCTTGCGCATTGTTGCGTGGTGCAAGTACCCACAACGGGATGATAATGGCGAACAGGCCAACAACATGAATGATCAAAATCAGACCTTCCACAAAGGGAAGGTTCTTGGCTAGGAAGGTGTTGAATAAGATTGAGAATGCCGAGATAGCTATTACTAGCATGGTTCCATGCCATCGCTGGAAGCCATAATCTGGCTGGTTCAAGACGATCAAACCTTGAATGATTGTGCCAGCGAGGTAGGCGATGGACACAATGGCGCATTGCCACCCCATTGCAGAAAGCCATCCTGAGATTATATGTTAGCTAACCAGGCTTACACGGGGGCTGGTTGTGTTACCTGTGATATAGCTGAGATACTTCTGTCCTCTCTTTGGTGCGAATTCCGACACCCAATGATACTGTCCACCAGCAGTAGGGGCCCTAAATGTCGACTGATTAGCGACAACTTGATCAAGCGTGGCAAGCTGTCAGTCACATACATCGAGGCCATCTCAGCAATACTGGCATAGACAAGGGTAAACCCGATTGAGACGCCAGTGAACCCCCATATCAAGCCCGCTGTACCACCATCCGTCAAACCAGCCGCCAGCAATCTGTTGATGGAATAAGTGGTCTGCATAATCACCATGTACAGGGACTAGGACGCACGTCAAGATAACTTCCCACGTGCAGATCAAAGTGCATCCAAATCCAACAATAGAGACAAACCGAAAGTTTCTCTTCGAGGTTTTAGCAAGACTAACGCGGCCAGGACAATGAGAACAGAGCAACTTACTCGCAAAACCTGCACTCGGCCAAGAGCGTTCATATCACGCCGATCCGCCAGAGTGCCCATATACCGAGGCTCTACAAGGCCTTTTTGCGCATACTCCTCGTCGTCAAGGCCAGTCATCGTCTGCTGTGAGTCAGGTCTAGACCTGCTGAAGACCGTCATTGTCGCGCGCGTGACTGAAGAACAAGATCAATATCTATTGAAGATGAGACAATGAGTTTCCGCAAAAAAAATGGGGAGTTACGAGAATAAAAAAAACCAAAAGCCTATATCTCCTTGCAACTCGACGGCCCGAAGGATCTAGGACGCGAAGTATAAAAGCGCCTAGCTCCATAGTCTTCGTAATCCAGAGCTCAAGGCGATGGGTTCCTCGTACCTTGCATCCACCCACAGCTTAGTACCAATGAGCCAATGCATGGTTACGCGTCGCCGAGATTGATTGAACAAATTCCAAGGCAAATGAGCCAGAAGAAGCACACAATATATTCCATTCGAAGCAATGCCAAGTGGCTTGTCACGTTACTGTAAAGGATTTCGACCAATACTCTGGCCTGTTCATCGCAAAGGAGATCAGCCAAAAAGAGATTAAGATTAATTGTGGGTGTTGTAAAAGACGATGAATTGGATAAGACCTTTGTTCTCTGCAGGGGCCACAGTGCATCGCTCATGTCCCACATGGTCATATTCTGCTGGGCAGTTGGTTAACCCGCATTATTCATGAACGTATTCATGAACAAAAACTGAGTCATACCGATATTAGATTCGATC